AGAATGGACATATTGCATATTTTTTGCTATCAGGGAATACACCTTTGACGTGCTGCGGTTATGCGGGCAAGTGTCGCAGCGAGACGCTCTCAGAGCTGGTGCGGAAGTTGTGAAACAAGTGAGTTGATCCGAATTATAAGGACGATATTCTGAAACTATTTGAAAGTATTTCAGGTCGATTCCCCATTGCTTTCTGGTTTACTTTACCCACTTCTGCAAGCTCTTGATGAGCAGTATCTCAAGGTATGAGTCTTGCCTTTTCTGTTTTGGTTCTTCTACAGTTTCACTTGCATAGTTTGTTATTATCTTTGTGCCCCTCCAAAAGACCACATCTATGTTTATTTTGGCAACACTTCACATTATTCAAAAGGTCATCTACTTTGTTCTTCTTGTACTCAGAAAATACATTTGTTTTTCTTTACCGTTCTGCCATCTTCATTGGTCATGGGAGCAGTACTAACACGCATTTTCAGACATTTGACTCATTTGCTTCTTTTTTTATTACCATGTTTGAATCAATTTATGCCGTGAGCGCTAGAGGACGAGAAATCTTCAATACTCATTCTTTTTCTTTTTTTTTCAAATTGTATGGTAGTTGCTTTATTTGATGGTTCTTCTCCTGGTCACTTTAGGCATGGTAAATATTTACAGTGATATAGACCAACAATTAGGATGCTATACAGCGTTTCCCATAATTTCATTTAGAACCTGACTTAAAGTTCTCCAAACTGCTGAGAAAGAAGTGCTAGCGATCAAGCGAATGCCACTTAGGAGTAGCGTAAAGTAACAATTAGGCTTGCCATGGTTTTTCTCAACTTTGCTTCAAAACAAATTAGGACTGACAGAAGATTGTCGGATAAAGCTTAGTTATTAAAGCAAAAATATTTTCGAAAAATCAAATTTGTTTTTCACGCAACAGTGCCACTGGGACTTCAAATCAAAAAAATTTAGTTCTTTTTTTTCAGTTCTCTTCACTCTTAGGCCCCGGCTATAAAGAACTGCAGTAAAGTTGAAACGTTAAGGATTTCCGATTTCTAGACCTAGTGATTGATCAGAAAGATTATCTCTTGATATTCGAGATGCCCTTAAAAATGTACTCACTCTTTGATTATTATTAACCCCTTTATTTCTGGATTCTCTATAGGCCCCATGATCCCTTTCAAAGGTATAGCTTAAATTAATGTTTTCTTTTATAATCCGATCTTATACCTCTGCCCATTACGGGTTATAATACCAGTTTGTGTGTGGCTTTACCGCTACCCTTATATAGCCTATAAATTTGCTACAAAACGGTGCTGTATCAAAGGGTAATCATAGTTGGGCATAGAGTATCAGCTCATCAAGCAAGTTTTCGGTTTTATTAGAATTATCTTTGGCCAATGCCAGTGATGCCATACGCTATGCTAAGGCCACGCACAACTTATGCCATTGAATCATGGCCTGAAGAGTGAGAAGAAGGAGTTATCAACGGCAAACAGCAGGCACACCGTTTTTGATTCTTAGGTAGATGGCCAGTTTGGCGGTGTTGATCAAAGGAAGATA